AGTCATTGTTTGATAGAAATTTTAACCACATATTTGAAGAGACTCACAATTTTTTAATCGTACATTTCATTATTTTTTATTGAAATTTACTAAAAAATTAATTTTAACCTTCGAGGCATAAAATATAATAAATATTCGGAAAAAAAAAGAAGAAGAAAGAAACAAAAGAAAGGTTGGAGAGGTGGGTTACCACAGTGATGATTTCATTAAAATTATGAAAAATTGGATGGAATGGAATGGCAAGTCAAAATCAGAGAGGTACCTATCAATCCACCGACCACCGACCTACCCACCAATTTCGCCCAATAAATTAAACGACAAATAATAATCACTTTCACCATCCAACAAAATAAAATTACTTTCCAAATTCCCACAAATAACTTCTCACTTTCTTGTTTTCTTCCACCATTCGTCTTCGAACCCATCCATCTGAAAACAGCAGACTTTGCAATTTGAAAAAGAAAGGGGAAATTTGCATAATTGGTCCCTACCTATTTTGCGAGTATGAATTTTGATTTCGACTTATGAGAACCAACTTTAAGAATTAACTAACGTTGTCTAAAAATGTAAAGGATCAAGAGTCAAATGATCGAATCCATTTGTATAAATATTTACAAAATATATAAAATATAAAATTTGACACGAGCATGTCCTACTGACTTGTTTTTATGCTGAATTAGCTGATTTGTAATTATTTCAATGGGTTCTCTTAGCTTTTGTGTTGAATCAAGCAATTCGGTCCACATTGACAACACTAATAGAAGGGAGTAAATTAGTATTCAAGTTTTTATTATAGGTGAACAATCAATTTGTAACAAAGAAAATGATTTTAATCGACATCAAATCGTGATGTTTTCAATCACGGTTCACTTCAAAAATTATAAATACCAGTCCAATTTGAGAATTGAGAAATATAATCCAGATTTATAAAGTTGGATATGTAAAGTTCATAAAATAATCTAATAAAAATATTTAAAAGGTTTTTGTTGTTAGGCTCACTATGCAATTATAATAAATATTTGAGGATCAACTTACAAATTTTTAAAAGTTAGGAACAAACTCACTCCTAAAATAATAAATTGACCACCTATCTTTTCCCAGAGAGAGAGAGAGAGACTTATGCACCTGTAAGATAGAAATAAAAACGAGCTTTATATGGCGGCCAACCCCTCTCTCGTGATGTAACGTGAGAGAGAGAGCCTTATGCACCTGTAAGTTAGTAATAAAAACAAGCTTTATATGGCGGCCAACCCCTCTCTCGTGATGTAACGCCCAACCTTTAATATTCCCAATAGAAACATTCAACAAATTGATCGTGTTGCAGCGAGACATGTACACATAGTGTTATACTTTTTAACGTAAGAGTTTGTACATTTGATTGAACTGCTCAATTAGATTGATATATTTCTACAATATCATCCACCAATTCCAACATGTAGCATGTTATAATGGGTGAATATGATTCGATTTGAATGATTTTTGACAAATTTTTAAAGCAAATCATTTGAAATGGTTTGAAATTTTTCCATACAAAACAAAATCACTTCAATTTCTAAACCAAACCAATGCAATTTTAATACGTGATTCATTCTCTTATAAAGATAACAATATAGTACATGAATTCATATATTATAATTAATAATATAAAACAACTAATAAAGAAAAATGAAATAAAAAGATCAAATACGATAATATCTTCTAGAACTTTTTGTGAACCATCAAATGTTTTTACCTCATTTAAATATTGACGGATCACTATATGTTCCTTGTTACTATACAACCAATTTTTAAGGTAAATCACAGTCTCAATCATATTTGCACTCAACAAACTCTTAAAAGAATAAAAAATCCGACCACTAGTAAGGAATGCAGACCAAAATATAATTGTAAATATTTAAATAGTTAACACGTATTTAGTGATTTAAGAAACAATCTTATACTTATTTATATTCAATTTTTACCAAAATAATATGATATGACTACTATAGATGGAATCGGAAGGCTCATTAGGCAAAATTTCAAAACATGCATTTAAGTAATCAACCAAATCATCTTAGAAATTAACAATAAAATCTAAAAACTAAGTTAAAATGTAAATAATTAATTGAATGACTTGACCACGAAATTGAAGCAAAAATAAACAAAAAACTGTTCGTTAAAATTTAAGGGAGCCCAACACAAATTAACAAAATAACACAACTATCAATAAAATATAAAATGTAATTACCAAAAAATAAGAAAAACTGAATAATCTAGCCTGAAAATTTAATCGAAATTTGAAAAAATTATTAGTAGAAAGAAAAGAAATGTGTGAGTTTAAATTAAAATCTAAATTTAATTGTCTATTCAATTATAATTGACTAGCGATCAATATAGTTCGGCAGTAGTTGTTCAACACTTCACCTAATCTGAGGGATTTTGTATTCTCACTTGTGACGATCGATTGATATTTGAGTATGATTTAATTAATTAATTGGAATCGATAATTGTCTATTTAGGTATTGATCTAATTGGGCTATGTTTAATATGTGTGTATCTCTTTTACCATGATATGTTTCGTTTCAATTGAGTTGGATAAAATTAAAATTGATTTATTTTCAGATTTTTCTTTATAAACGGTCTCATGGTTTGAATTTTTTTTTTTTAAAGATTGAAATATAAGTCAAATCACTTCGAAGTAGTTGGATCGGTTCAAAATCAAAACGTTGATGGATCCAATCAACGGTTTCATAGAAGCGAGTTTGGTTCGATTTTACGATTTTACGATTTCGTTGCTCAGCTCAATTTAGCAGTGTTCTAAAGATGTGAAGCATTATTGGTAGGTGAATCAGGTTTCAAGATTTTACGAGTCCACCTGACCAAGACTAAGCCTAAACGTATAGATAGGCAAAACAAAGAAATCGCCAAATCACAAAATCGAATTAAAACCGATGGTTTGGGTCCATGTATATCTGTCAACGTTTTGATTTTATATCAAATCAAACCGATGCTAAGTGGTCTGATTTAAAGTTTAATTTTTTGTAAACCGTTTCAAACTGTTAATTCGCTTACGAAAAAAATTGAAAATAAATTAATTTAAATTTTATCCAACCCCGATAAGACTAAATATATTCCAATTAAAAAAGATACATCAATGTAATACCCAATCAAATTAAGCGATTATCCATTACAATTAATTAAATTATATTCAATTATCTATTAGTCATCACAATTGTGAATGCAAAACCCTCAAATTGTCTTAAATGCTAAACAACAACTGTTGAACCATATTCATAAATTGTTTATCACGATAGAATATATTGTTAAATCCAAATTTTAATTAAAACCCACAATTTCTTTGCTTCTATTAATATTTTTTATTTTTCAAATTTAGGCTCAATTTGTCCAAATTTCTTATTTTTTGTTAATGATTTGTTATATTTTATTGGTAGTTGTATCGTTTTATTCTTATTTTTGTTGGGTTCCCTTAATTTTTGGGTTGAGTCATATTTTTTATTTATTCGTGTCTTAATTTTCTCGTCAAACACTCAATTTATAATTTTTTTTGACTCGCTCCATTTTACCGTGAATTGCTAGAATGATTTGATAGATTACTTAAATGGAAATTTGACTAATTAGGATTTCTAAATATTATTTTGGTGGAAATTGAATATAAATAAGAACAAGATTTGTCTCCCAAATTGCTAAAGATATGTTATCTATTCAAATATGTATAATTGCTTTCGAGTCTGCATTTTCAACCAGTGGTCAAATTCTTGATTCTTTTAGGAGTTCATTGAGTGAAAATACGGTTGAAGCGATGATTTAAACTAAAATTTAGTTTCATTATAATAATGAACTTATAGTGATTCGTCAATATTTGAATGAGGTAGAAATATTAGATTGAATGATTAAGAGAATCGTGGATGGTATAGTATCGTATATGATCTTTCTACCAATTTTTTTATTAGTTGCTTTATATCGTTTAATTATAATAAATAAATATATTTACTATATTCTTATCTATATGCAAAGCATGAATCATGTGTTATAACTGGAGCTATTGCATCAATTATTATCGACTAAGATGTTATAACTAAACTATTTCTATCATGTTGTTTCATTGTTATGATTACAAGTGTAGAAGTTTGATTTGTAATATTTGTGATTATACTAATATTTATATTTTAACATGAAATTCTAGACTAATATTTGTGGTTTAATTTGTTTAATACATGCCCTTTTTTGTTTGTTAAACTTTTGTTTTAAATCGAACCGAATCGAAAAAAGTAGTTTGATTTGATTTGGTTTAGAAATTGAAATAGTTTAGTTTCATTTGAAATTTTTCCAAATTGCTTTAAGTGGTTTAATTTGAAAATTTGTCATAAATCGTTTAAATCAAATCATTTTCACCCCCTGTATAGGAGTAAAACGTGACTACAAAAAAAAAAAAAGTCAAGCTTCATGTTTGGAAGAAGTTTAGGTGTGTGTTTAAACTACATTATTTTGAAAGAATGCATTTTGAAATAGTAGATTGATAGAGAATGTGTGGTTGAAAAAAAAGGAAACGTTATTGATGTGATGAAAAATATTATTTTATTGAAAAATGTGTGGTTGAAAATGTGTAAAAAATAATAATGAAAATTTTAACGTGTCTCAAAGAAGGGGACAAACTTCTTACAACATTGATTAACATTAATATTAGGGGAAAAAAAAAAGAGTACATCAAAGTGAAAGATCGATAGAATTTATAATTAGGTGTATATAACACGTATAGATAGATATTGTGTCGGTGCATTTTGTAAGTTTTTAATTTTCCTCACAGAATTTCTTTTAAGATAACAACATATGACAACCACCTTAATGCTCAAGTAGGCTGCCTAAGGAAAATCCACAACTCTCTCAGGTCTCTCTCTCCTTCTCTCTATATCCCTTCTTGGATTCTGTCTTACCTATGGAGAGCACAACGTTATCTATATAGAGAGAGAAAGAATATTATTGTAATACATATACAGAGAGATATGGAGAGCGGCGGCGGATGTGGTGGTGGTGCTGCAGGAGGGCGGAGCTGTTCAACGGCGGGGAACAAAAGGAAAAACGAGAAGCCATATAAAGGCATAAGGATGCGTAAATGGGGAAAGTGGGTGGCGGAGATAAGAGAACCAAATAAAAGATCAAGAATTTGGCTGGGATCTTATTCCACAGCCGTGGCGGCGGCGAGAGCCTATGACACCGCCGTGTACTATCTACGGGGTCCGTCTGCTAAGCTGAATTTCCCAGATGAAATCGCCGCCGTCGGACTCAAAGACCTGTCCTCGGCGGCGATACGCCAATTGGCAGCGGAGGTTGGCGCCAAAGTTGATGCACTTCAATGTAATTCCATTAATGGCACACAATCGAAGGACCATGCAAATCCGTCTTTGCAACCTTCTTGGTTTCAAGAGAAGGTTGACTTGAACCAGAAGCCCAAGCCCGAATCCGATGATCCAAGTCTTGATTACTGGTGAATATTTGGCATGTTGTATGAGTTTAAGGTAGATGTTGGACTCGATAGTCCTTTTTCGTCCAGCAATATTCAATCTTCCTTCCCAAATATGCTATTAACTAAGTGATTTTCGGGCATAATAGTAAGAGAAGGTTAACTTGAACTAGAAGTCCTAGCCTGAAGAACCAAGTCTTGATTGGTTGTGAATGTTTAGTACCTCATAACAAATAGACAAAATTTTAACTTTTTTTTTAGATTGTAATATTTTCGTTCCTCCTTACTTAATATTTTATGGTTACACGTTTAATAAGGTGTATTGTATCGATGATTCAACTTTTGAGTATTTTGCGACAAACATGCACATTAACACTATTTTATCTATTTATATATTTAGATATAACAGTTTCGATGCTGTAACTTGGAAGTCCTAAAAGACATTAATGTAATAATCTTTTGGTTGGTTGGTTGGTTGGTTGGTTGTTCTTGAACCATAAGATTTATATGAATATACACATTTCATCTTTATCTGTTCACGTTGTCAATGGAATTTTGAATTTGATATGTGCATATGAGAACATGGTTTGATGATTGAGGGCCTACTATTGCTGGAGTTTGGTGCAAGTGGTTGTTTCCAAACTACACAAAAGTGATTGGATTTTCATCTCAATGCTTCTATACAGTTGTAGATGACCAGGATTTTGGGTACCACATAAGAAAGAGCCAAAGGATCGATGGGAGAAGAGAGTTATTGTCATGTAATGTCCAAAGGTGCTATAGTGGGTTGGATTACACTTCATACACTTGTAAAGGTGTAAAAGAAGAAGTGAGACATTTATATGTTCTATCATGACTCGACTTTCGCTAGCTCGATCTAGTTTGGAGAGGTTAATTATGTCGGATTAACTATTTACTATGCAGTATTAAAATCAAGATGATACTTTTTTAGATCTATTGCGTTGGGTGATTAGAATGTCTTGAACTGAGTATAAATTGCAATGTCTTAGTTTTGGACAGTCTATTGAGTTTCTCCAAAGATTGGTCGGGCCTACACCTTTGGTGGAATGGTGTGTTTACATTTCCTTGATGTTTGATTTTGTGAAAGCAAGAGTTTCCATCAATGGTGGATGCTAGAGTGTGTTCACACGGGACTTTGGAAAACTGTTGACTTTCTTTTTCTACGTTGGCTTTGAATAGCATGCTTCACTTTGTTACTATTTTTTATGAATGCCTTAAAATATTTATGATAATATTGGTCGGAAAGTAAAAGGTTAGTGCAGATAATGTCTGATGCACAATAACTTCTCAATGGTAAAAAAATTCTTACACAAGTCTGTGGACTAAAAGGAGAATACTACGAGTGCCGGTCAACCCCATTTTTATTTTAAGAATGTATTTTAAAATAATAGATTGATTGAGAATATGTGATTAAAAAATAAAAATAAAAAATTTGAATTTGTGTGTAATATTATTTTATTAAAGAATGTGTAGTTGAAAATAAGAGAGAAAAATATGTTCTGAAAATAATTAGGATCGAAACGCAGCACCCGATTCGCAAGTTTTTTTTTTTAACTGCTAATGAAACTGCACAAAGTGGAAGCCAGTAGAAATTTTGTGAAAGTTTTCTATTTTTTATTTATTTTTATTTAAAATAACTAAGAAGTAAGAATACTGTTGTTCAATTTTTTTTGTTTTCCAAGTGTAAATTAACTTATAGTCAATACTGGTTGACGAACTAGAAGGGTATTTTAGATTTTTTAAAATATCATTTGTTGCTTTTAGCTGGTACAAGTATAAAAAGATTTATTTATCATTATATTTAAATAATAAATAAATATAATAGTGCGAAAAAATATATTTTCCTAATTTCAATGCATGCAAACGATTTTTTTTTTTTCGTAGAACTATCATCAACAATAGATATACTAATCAATGAAAGTTTGAAAATAAAAGTTCAATGAAAATCAAGTGGAGGACATATAAATAAGAAAAAATTGAGGATGTTGTGTCCAATTAAAATGTGACGCAACTAATAAAAAGTGTAGTGCTAATATACCCAATCTAATTACTTTCATACACTAATTTTTGTTGGCTTTCTCAAATTTTAATTGCAATAAAAGTCTCTAGTTTTTACTCACTTATGTCATTGACCCTTTTTTCGTTGTATTCTTATCTTCTGTGATCTTCAATTGAATTTTGTCCAAACTTTCATACACTACCATAGATTTTTGGACGAAAACTATCAAGAAAGACAAAGATGTGGATAATGTTAAGGATAAAATCACACAAAAGTTGTGGAAAAAAGTTGTAGACACAAGCAAATATAATCAAAGATTAGTGACTTTCATTGCAATTAGATATGTTATGAAAAAAAAAAAGAGGTAGTGTGAATATAATTACCGTTTGAACTAAATTCACCCAATTCTAAGAAAGTTGGGAAATTCAACAAGTGTTCTACAAACATATGGAGGAGAAAAACTTCAGCCCTTGTTTGATGGACTTTCTCTTAAAAACTTTTTTTCCCTACACACTCATTTTCAATCATATATTTACACAATAAAACATTCTCCACGTAAATTTAAAATTTTTTCATATTTTTCAATCATATATCCTTCAAATATTCAATATTCAAAACATTATTTTTGTCAAATAATAACCATCAAACATGGCTAGTCTCTGTATGTGCACATGGGCGGACCCAAGGGGGTCCTGGGGGGCAGGTGCCTAAAAAAAAAAAGAGGTAGTGTGAATATAATTACCGTTTGAACTAAATTCACCCAATTCTAAGAAAGTTGGGAAATTCAACAAGTGTTCTACAAACATATGGAGGAGAAAAACTTCAGCACTTGTTTGATGGACTTTCTCTTAAAAACTTTTTTTTCCCTACACACTCATTTTCAATCATATATTTACACAATAAAACATTCTCCACGTAAATTTAAAATTTTTTCATATTTTTCAATCATATATCCTTCAAATATTCAATATTCAAAACATTATTTTCGTCAAATAATAACCATCAAACATGGCTAGTCTTTTTATGTGCACATAGGCGGACCCAAGGGGGGTCCTAGGGGGCAGGTGCCCCCAACTTTTGAGATTCATTTTTTTTTTAAATCACGTTTGTTTAATTTTCATCATTTTATTAGGAAATTTTCAAAAAATTTCGAAATTTTACATCCGAAAAAGTCATATCTCATGTAAATTTTTAGATGTAAAATTACATGGAGTATGATTTTTTTGGACGTAAATTTTCGATTGTAAAAATTCTACCAACTTCTTTTCAAGTTCGATTATGTCTCCCCAACGTTAAAGTTCTACGTCAGCCCCTGTATGTGCAAGTGGTACGATAGTTCGGTCAATTCATGACACTTGGTCATTTAAGTCATAATTAGTATTTATTGTATTTTTTCTTTTAATTTTGTCAAATCACTCACTCAAATCACGACACGTCTTTAACATCAAATTTTATTTTTTAATCTATTTCCAGACCACCCACTCATATAAAAAAAATCTTAAGTGCCCTTATATATATATATGTCAAATGCATAATTATTGACTATTGCTAATTATTTCAGATTAGACTTTGCCGCCGGATGAAATATCAATATTCCTTCCCACCCGACCCCCTCCCTCCGCGGCGGCATAGATTATTACATTGTTTTAAGGCTGTAATTTATTGATTCTAGTTGCTTAGAATTACTTACAACTTAGTTCATAATTCCTACAATAAAAATTTCAAGACAAAAATAAATAAATTCATTTAGTATTAATAAATTAAGGTGGTCATACATAAAACTATATATTCTACTTTATACACTAGCACGTAGCAAGTGATTATGGGTTAGTAAAGAAAGCATATTTTTTTCTAGGCCGATGACCTGAAGGACACAATTTGGTGTGAATTCAATGGAAGGTTAGACCAAATTTGCTTTAAATTATAAGTATACTTACCTAATAATAGCATATAAGAAAAAAAGATATGTGTGATCATTGAGTGAGCGTTCGAAATAAAATAAGATAGAGAAGAAGAGTAAAAATTAGATATGACTTGAATAATCACGTGTCGTTATTTAAGTGGCTCGACATACCACGTAAATATATCACGTATATCATCCTACCAATTTTCTTTTTTAGCTTTTTCCCCAAATGGAGATAGTAAATTGGATAGAGGAGAATTTTGGTCATTCTTGTTTTGGGATGTCAACGAACGAAGTCGAGTTAGCTCGCGAGTTGAAACACGAAACTCAGGTTCGACTCGAGTAAAAATGTTATGGATTTTTTTTGGCCCCAGCTGAGCTGAACCTTTGCTCGGCCAAAAAATTTAGACTCAACCCGAGTTTTCGGCTTGGGCCTTATCGAGCCAGTTGCCAAAAAATCTAGGCTCAATCCGACCTTTCGACTCGAGCCTTATCGAGCCAAATAGAACCAACTCATGATTTGTTAATTTNTTTTTTTTTTTACTAAATTTGCTCACAAGCTGGCTCGAGCCGCCTCTCCAAAATGGGGCTCGGCTCGAGCCTCGGCCTTTTCTGTCCGGACAGCCAAATTAACACCCCTATTCATGTTTCATATATGCAAAGAAAAGTTGTTTAATGAGCACACTTCCCAAAATTTCAGATTATAGCCAAGACAAAATTAAAAAATGTCAACAAGCTAAGAAATTTTGAGCCAATATTCAATAGATTAATAATATTCAACACTATTAGTGTTAAGCATTAGTTTAGGAGGCAACTGTACAATATTAAATAATAGATTCACTTAAAAGCACGATCACATCATATAGTTGAGCCTATCAAATATGATCACTTAAACTGATATTAGATAGCATTATTCTATTCAATATTAGTCTCGGTAAACTGAAAACTTAACAATATCATCTAGCCCAGCCTCCTAGTAAACGTAGCAATCCTCACTAGACATTTTCAATCATACATTTACACAATAAAACATTCTCCAAGTAAAGTTAAAAAGTTTTTATATTTTTTAACCATATATCCTTCAAAAATTTAGTATTCAAAACATTATTTTTGTCAAATAATAATCATCAAACATGGCTAGTCTCTGTATGTGCAAGTGATACGACAGTTCGGTCAATTCATGACACTTTGTCATTTGAGTCATAATTAATATTTATTCTTTTTTCTTTTAATTTTGTCAAATCACTCACTCAAATCACGACACGTCCTTAACTTCAAATTTTATTTCGTACTCTATTTCCAAACCACCCACTCATATAAAAAAATTCTTCATTGCCCTAATATATATATATATATACACACACTCTCTCTCTCTAGCACGTAGCAAGTGATAATGGGTTAGTAAAAAAAGCATATTTTTTTCTAGGCCGATGACCTGAAGGACACAATTTGGTGTGAATTCAATGGAAGGTTAGACCAAATTTTATTTAAATTACAAGTATGCTTACCTAAGTAATAGCATATAAGAACAAAGGATATGTGTGATCATTGAGTGACTGGTTCGAAATAAAATAAGATAGAGAAGAAGAGTAAAAACTAAATATGACTTGAATAATCATGTGTCGTAATTTAAGTGGCTCGACATACCACGTAAGTATATCAGTATATCATCCTACCAATTTTCTTTTTCTTTTTCTTTTCCTCGAATGGAGATAGGAAATTGGATAGAGGAGCATTTTGGTAATTCATGTTTAAGGATGTCAACGAGTCGAGTCAGCTCGTGAGCTGAAACACGAAGCTCGGACTCGACTCGAGTAAAAATAGTTCTAACTTTTTTTAGCCCAAGTCGAACCAAGCCGAGATTTTGGTCGGCCATTTTTTATTTTATTTAAAAAAAAAAAAAGCATTGCTGCCTACCATTGTAGCAAGCCATGCAGCTAGTAGCCTGCTCCCTTGTATTGCAGGCAATAGTAGCTACCAAAGTTTTAAAAATTTTTGTTTTTTGTTTTTTTCCTTTTTTATAAATTTGCTCATTGGCTGCCTCGAGCCACAGCGCTCAGGCTTTTCCGTTCGGGCGGCCAAATTGACACTCCTATTCATGTTTCATACATGCTAACAAAAGTTGTTTAATGAGCACATTTCCCAAAATTTCAGGTTATAGCCAAAACAAAATTAAAAATTAAAAAAATGTCAATAAGCTAAGAAATTTTGAGCCAATATTCAATAGAGTAAATATTTACACCATTTAAGCACAAGTTTAGAAGGCAACTGCACGATATCAAATAATATATTCACTTAAAAGCACGGTAACAGAATTCATGTAGTTAAACCTATCAAGTATGACTATCTAAATTGATATTAGATAGCATTATTCTATTCAATATTAGTCTCGGTAAACTAAAAACTTAGCAATATCATCTAGCCCAGCCTCCTTGTAACACTCAGCAATCCTCACTAGACAGTCGTCCCACTTCCCTTCCAGAGAAGCTAGGTCCAACAAAAAGGCTGCTTCATCCAATGCAACCTGCAAAATAGTAGGTGTGTGATAGACAAAGTGAGAACATCATTTACATGGTGGCAGGGAAGGCTGACAACACGACTCTTTCAGTGTTGGGCTAATAATTAAGCGTATATTTATGGTCAAACCTGAGTAGGTTCTTTCCCTTTCTTTAGATCTGCTTGCCTTCCCTCATCGGTCACCTTCTCTTTAATGTACTCGATTTGTTCGTCCTCCCATTGAGCCAAGTTAGCAGCTTCCTAAATACAAATAAGCAAAATAACATATATAACTGACAACATGCATAATAATGTTGGAATTACGAGGGCGTGCTAGCGGGACAAACACCTGATACTCGCATCCCAAAGTCCACCATGGTGATTTCAAAGCCACCCTTGTAGAATCTTTTGCTTCTGCATTTCGTTCAACACTACAAAAGGTACACATGTTTACTACGTAGTGAACATGGTATAATTATATATCAATACCAGCACTTCAGCATTGAAGACAAATGGACAACCAAATCTTGGAAAATGCTCCTTTTTTGTATAGATTTCCCTCGTTATCAGAGTTGAAACCTTTCACCAGCATGCATGCATCACTTAAGAGTAAATAAAGCCACTTTGCACAGAAAGAAAAATTCAGAATCCAACTTACCTGGTCCCCTTTATCAAAATGCTGCTTAACTCTGTGTTTTAGAACATCCGGAAACAAGCCGACCTGCGAAAAAACTAACGAATTCTGTCAAATCAGCTAATATTTATAAAAATAGAAAGTGTCCTTTTTCGACCTTTTTCAGAAGATAGACGTCTACACTGAAAATCCGATATTCAGCCAAATCACCCTTTTTATAAAGCTTCACTCCAGCATCAGCTGAAGCAAAAAATAACTCTTCATTCTTTTTCTGGGAACTCTTAATGTCTTCTTCCACCATGATTCTTGTTGGAGCATTGAATCCAAAATTGACAGCATGGAATTAAAACAAAAGGAAGAAAATGACAAAGCAAAAGAAAAGAGGGAAAATTAGTTATAGTTAACTACATTCTGTTAAGAGTTAATTTATGTTCAATTAGTTTACAATTTCTGTTATCTAGTTAGCTAAGTTGTTATTTCTAGCTGGTAATTCTTAATATAAATGAGGCTTCTATTTGATGTAATTTTTATTCGATCAAGTTTATCAATAAAGAGAATTCCTCTTTCTCCCAGCTTCTTCTTTCTTCTTGCTGAACTTTATCATGGTATCAGACCATGAAGACTTCCGCAATCTCTTTCGGGTAAGCTGATCGTCTCCTTTAGACACTCTTTTCTGAAATTGCTGTACTCAATTCTCTGAAGATGAGTTCTCAAAATTCTTCTGTGAATCCTACTACAAATTCGAGTAATTCAGTCATAAACCCGTCAGATGACCCTATTACCTTCATCCCTGTGATAATCCTGGTGCATCAGAAGTTTTCAATGGAAGTAATTATGTCGCCTGGAGTAGATCCATCACTATAGCCTTGACAGTAAAGAATAAGGTTCAGTTCATCGATGGATCAATCTCTCTTCCTCCTATTGATCAATCAATCAATCACACATACTGGTTAAGAGCAAATAATCTGGTTCTCTCTTGGCTGATTAATTCTATTTCCAAAGACATACACAATAGTCTTCTATTTGTTGCATCAGCTACTGATCTATGGAATGAACTTAAGACTAGATATCTCAGAAGTGATGGTACACGTGTGTTTCATCTTGAAAAATCCCTGAGCTACATAAACCAAGGTTCCATGTCTGTGACTGAGTATTTCAACTCTTTTAAAACTCTATGGGATGAATACATTAGTTACAGACCTTTCCCAACCTGCACATGTGGAATAATGACAACTTACACTTGTGATTTATTCACACTTTTGCAGAATCGTCAACAATCTGATTATGTATTGAAGTTTTTAGTTGGTTTGAATGACTCTTTTGCTTCTGTCAGAAGCCAAATCCTTCTCATGGTTCCCTTGCCTAGCATGGCTAAGGTGTTCTCTTTGTTGCTTCAAGAAGAAAGTTAGAGGCTGCTAACTAACTCTACTTCACATATTGAGACACATGCTTTAATGGCACAATGCAACAATCATCAAAATTATCAGCCAAAATCGTTCAGGGGTAGAGACAAATCCAAAGCTCCCTTACCACTTTGCACTCATTGCGGTTATACTGGACACAGGGTTGATACATGCTATCAACTCCATGGATATCCTCCTAACTGGATAGGACCAAGAGGGAAAAGAAATGCCTTTGGAAGACCCTCAGCACATACTGCAGTTACAGAAGAAACTACCTATTAGAGTGACAAAGAGCAGCAAAAATTATCTTTCACTCTAGAGGAATTTCACAAACTCATGACACTTGCCAATTTAGCACCAACTGATCCTTCTAACACTCGACCAACTGTCAATTTTGCATCTACCTCTCACTTTTCTGGTAAAACACAACCTATAGCACATGCTATATGTTGCAGCTCTATCTCACCTACATTAAAATCAAACTACTCTTGGATTCTTGATACATGTGCTACAGATCATATGATATGTTCCCCTTCTCTATATTGCTCTACCCCTTAAGTGGTTAACACTTTTGTTTATCTCCCTAATGGTGTTAGGATTCCAACTTCTCATAGTGGCACTATATGCCTTTTTAACTCACTCTTCCTGCATAATGTTCTGTGTATTCCATCCTTTTCTTTCAATTTGATTTATGTATCTAAACTCACCATCCAGTCTAATGTATATATCACTTTTACCAACTGCTATTGCACCTTGCAGGACCAACTAACGAGGAAGATGATTGGGACTGCTATTGAGATGGAAGGACTGTACCATCTAATCCAAGTATCTCCACAACTCCAGACTAGAATTCAATTCAACTCTGCACCATTTGCATCAACCATAACTCACTAGAAACTTGACATATGGCACTACAGACTGTGACATGTTTCCAACTCCAAATTGATTTCTCTCAAGCAAATTGAGCCTTCTATTACTTTTGATTGTACACATATTTGTGATATTTTTCCCTTAGAAAAACAAAGAAAGCTTCCATTTTCTGTACACTTCACAGATCAAATAAAAAGTTCGATTTAATTCACTTTGATATTTGGGAACCCTTTAGCACTGTCTCTTATTCCAATTTCAAGTATTTTCTCACTATAGTTGACGACTTTACACGGTGCACATGGGTTTATGTGGTGCAAAATAAATCTGATGTTCCATATTTACTCAAAACATTATGCAGAATGGTAGGAACTCAATTCTCCACCTCTGTCAGACTTATACGATCAGACAATGGCCCTGGGTTCTGTCTCACAAATTTCTACCATAAACAGGTATTATACATCAAAAGAGCTGTGTAGAGACTCTACAACAGAATGGAATCGTGGAAAGGAAACACCAGCATCTTTTATGCACCGCTAGAGCTTTGTTGTTTCAAGCTAACCTACATCTCAATTTCTGGAGTTATTGTGTCCTAACCGCAGCTCACATAATCAACAGAATTCCTACACCTCTTCTCCAAAATAAATCTCCTTTCGAAATGTTATTCAATAAACCTCCAAATCTTTCACACTTAAGAGTTTTTGGGTGTCTCTGCTTTGTTTCCACCCTTACACGCTACAGACAAAAGTTTGATCCAAGAGCCACCAAATGCTTATTCCTAGGCTACCCTTCTAATTTTAAGGGATATAAGGTCATGGCCATCAACACAAACAGAATATTTGTCTAAAGAAATGTTAAATTTCATGAATTAATTTTCCCTTTCAAACGTATTCCTACAAACTCTGACCAACACTCCTCCTTGTTCCCTATACAAGACCCTTTTCAAGATTTTTCCCATTTACCTCCTTTATAATTGATAGAGCATGATCTATTCCAATCACCAGATAATGATCTCTCTCCTGTTTCATCTCCTGCACATCACCACTCCTATGCGACACCAACAAATGATGATCAACATATGACATCTCCTGCAGATCATCCCCCAGCCAGAAAATCAAACAGAATGCGACAAACTCCAGCTCATTTGCAAGATTATTACTGTGGTGCAGTCTCTTCAGCTTAATCGTCATCCCAGGATTCGACTTGATATAGTTGCTCCACAATGGCATGTAATATCACTCCTTACCTTATTCAAACCTTTATCTCAACTAAACAACTATCTACCTCGCATAGAGCCTTCTTAGCTTCTATCTCTTCTCCTCTAGAACCCAAAACTTTCAAACAAGTTTCTAAATTTCCTGAATGGCAAGCTGCCGTGCAAAGTGAGATCAATGCTCTGGAGTTAACAAAACATGGGAATTAGTTACTCTCCCTCCACACAAGAAAACTATTGGTTGCAGGTGGATATTTCGCATCAAACATAGGGCTGATGGGACTATTGAGAGACATAAAGCCCGATTTGTGGCAAAGGGATATACCCAGCAAGAAGGGCTTAACTTTTTTGACACTTTCTCTCCAATGGCAAAAATCACTTCCATTCGTTTGATCCTTGCTATGGCTGCTATCAAAAATTGGCATTTACATCAACTTGACGTCAACAATGCCTTCCTCTATGGTGACTTACATGAGGAGGTATACATGGATTTACCACCTGGCATGACTACCACAATACGTCACAATGCTTGCAGGCTTTTAAAGAGTCTTTACGGTTTAAAACAAGCCTCCAGGCAGTGGTTTGCAAAACTGTCCAGTACCTTTCTCAACTTTGGCTTCACTCAAGGTCACTCTGATTCTTCGCTTTTTATCAGAACATCTGCTCACTCCTTTATTGCATTATTAGTCTATGTGGATGATATTCTTCTAGTCGGCAACAATTTACTGGAGATTCAATAGATAAAAGATTTTCTCCATGACAAATTCACCATCAAGGATCTTGGTAAACTCAAATACTTCCTTGGTATGGAGGTGGCTAGATCCAAGAATGGTATTTCCCTTTGTCAAAGGAAATATGTTCTCGACATCCTGGAAGAAACAAGCATCACTGGCTCCAAACCTGATGCTTTTCCCATGGAATCCACCTTGAAACTCTCTTCTATCGATGCTCCTTTGTATGATGATCCATCTGGCTATCGCATGCTTGTAGGTAAGTTGCTGTACTTAACCATCACAAGGCCTGACTTGGCCTATTCTATCCAGGTGCTCAGCCAATTCCTTGCCTCTCCTGCTGTGAGCCATTTTCAGGCAGCTACCAGGGTTCTACGCTATTTAAAGGCCACACCAGGGCAAGGTCTCTTCTTTCCAGCTTCATCAACATCCACTTAATGGCCTTCTCAGATAGTGATTGGGCGGGATGTGTCGATACTCGGTGGAGTGTCACTGGTTTTGCGGTATTCCTTGGAACCTCCTTAATTTCATGGAAATAAAAAAAGCAGGTTACCATCAATCGCTCTTCAGCTAAAGTCGAATATGGCTGCTGTATGCTCTAGATGATCTGAACATCAGCCACCCTCAGCCTATATCTCTCTATATAGATAGTAAATCAACTTTGTCTATTGCTACAAACCCAGTCCAACATGAAAGGACTAAACACATCCAAATTGATTGCCATCTCGTTCGAGAAAAATTACAGCAAAACATCATCAAAATTTTCCACACCCCTTCAAAGCTTCAACTCGCTGACATTTTTACGAAGCCCCTTGGTTCCTTACTCTTTCATCATAACCTTCGCAAGATGAACATTATTAACATTCATGTCCATCTTGAGGGGGGGATGTTGGAGTATTGAATCCAAAATCGACAGCATGGAATTAAAACAAAAGGAAGAAAATGACAAAGCAAAAGAAAAGAGAGAAAATTAGTTATAATTAACTACATTCTGTTAAGAGTTAATTGCTGTTCAATTAGTTTACAATTTCTGTTATCTAGTTAGCTAAGTTGTTATTTCTAGCTGGCAATTCTTAGTATAAATGAGGCTTCTATCTGAT